GACAGAGTCTCAAGCAGCCCAGACAGGCCTCACACTCCCTATGTAGTTTAAGATGACCTTAAACACCGGACCCTCCTGTCTTACCTTCCCAAAAAGTGGAACTACAGACACACACCAATACACTTAGTGTTTATATCATTTTAAATTGCTCCGTGGTAGAGAGCTTGCCTAGCATGGGCATGGTCTTGGGTTCTATCCACAGCACCACAATCACTCAAATCAATCAATCAATATCAATCACATTCTAGTCTATGGATAATTTACTTTTTTTTTTCTTCTTTTTTTTTTTCCTTTTTTTTCTTGCCACACTGCTGTGTCAGGTCCTCAGAAAATTTACTTTCTATCTGATCTTTGGGTTGTTTGCAGTCCTTTTCTATTATAATTAAGTAATTATTGTTAATACCTCTGGGTGTATATCAGATAATAAGCTAGAACTATCTGCTAAGGATGGATTCCTAAGCAAGACAGGGGCCATATGACTGGGGCAGGTGAAGGGGGGAGGTCCCAAGGGAGATGGTAAGGAAGACAATAGAAGGGACATGGAAGGGACAAATACTGGGATTAAAAGTACAATGGGGAAGAGTGCTAGAGGGATGAGAGCTGGGGGGCGGGGGAGGTGGGAAGAACCAACCAGGCTGAGATACATATGAAAGCTCTATATGTTGAACAAGGCCCTTATTGTTTTGTACAACAAATAAAATAAATAAAGGGGTGGATTACTGCTGTGGGATGTTAATGTATGTCCTGTGGGAGCCCTTCTTGGGTTCCTTGTGGCGTTACCCAGCAGGTTTGCATAGAGGATGATTAGGACCATGGGCCTGAGTGCAGGTGTCTGAGATGGTCTGCACTTGGCTGTACTGGGGGATGGTCTGTATGTCAAGTTGCTCTGATTGGTCAATAAATAAAACCTGATTGGTCGTGGCTAGGCAGGAAGTATAGGCGGGACTAACAGAGGAGAAATAAAAGAACAGGAAGGCAGAAGGAGACGCTGCCAGACACCGCCAGGACAAGCAGCATGTGAAGATGCTGGTAAGCCACGAGCCACGTGGCAAGGTATAGATTTGTAGAAATGCGTTACTTTAAGATATAGGAACAGTTAACAAGAAGCCTGCCATGGCCATACAGTTTGTAAGCAATATAAGTCTCTGTGTTTATTTGGTTGGGTCTGAGCGGTTGTGGGACTGGCGGGTGACAGAGATTTGTCCTGACTGTGGGCAAGGCAGGAAAACTCTAGGTACAGATTACTATGCATAATATTCCTGGAACAAGTCACTCTGAGACAAGGTGTCACTGTGTAGACTAGGCTGGTCCTAACTCAGAGATTTGCCTACTCTGACTCCCAGGTGTGGATTAAAGGTGTATGCCACCACACCACCACACCACCATACCACCACACCACCACACCACCACACCACCATACCACCACACCACCACACCACCACACCACCACACCACCACACCACCACACCACCACACCACCACACCAAAAGGGTCACATTTAAAATATATCTAGAAGGGCATTGTGGTGCCTGTAATCTTAGCACTTGGGAGACTGAGACAGGAGGATTAGCCAGAATTCCAGGACAGCTGGTGCTGCAAAGTGAGACACTGTCTTAGAAAAATAACCAATTAATTTTAGAAATAATAAAATATGGTCGGCAAGATGGCTCATTGGGTTAAGGCACTCACCACCAAGCCTGATGGCCTCAGTTCAATCCCCAGGACCTACATGGTAGGAAAAGAAAACTAACCCCAGCAATGTTGCCCTTTGGCACACATGTGCTGTGGCATGTACACACACACACACACACACACACACACACACACACACACACACAGTGGAAGACCAGCTCCCACATTCATTTACCCCAGGGACTCTTGAGGAGTGAGGGATAAGAGATTTAAATAGAAATATAGAGGGGAGAGAAACAGAAACACAGGATAGCCTCGGGAGGGCCTGGATTGTTATCCACCGGCCCAGAACTTTATTCCAAATGTCTGTTTATAACAATGCCAAAGGCAGGGGCAAAAGACCATCCCTCTGCTAGATACAGTCAAATGTAGACCCTTCTAAACATCTGGTACCCAGGCCCATGGCCCAATCATTCTCTTATGCAGTCCTGCTGGGTAAAGCTACTAGGAAACCTGGGTGGGCTCCAACAACACACACACATACACACGTACACACAAAATAAATAATTACAGGGTCATAATTTTTTTAAGAAATAATAAAGTATTTATAGCTATCAATGTCATTCAGAAAGACTAGAGTGGTTTGCATTCTCTCCCATAGCCACATGAGAATCTCCCCTCCTTAATAATAATGGTGATAAAATAACAATGGCAGGAACAACTAATAGGCATTGGGCATGTATGGCTGATCTCATTCTTTGATTCCTCTCAACAAGTGTGTGAAGTTGCAAACCGAAGTTCAGAGCTGTGGTGCCAGAAGACATGGCTGAGGAGCCGGCGGGATGGACTTCTGGCCTCTCTAGCCCCCACTTGGCTCCCTTTCCACCAGCCTCTCCCAAACAGGGAGAATTGGCTCCTTCCAAACTGCTGCTCAGCCATCAAGGACAGGATGGGAGCGGTGAGGTGTGATAAGGACAAGGTTGGCACCCGGGTGCCTGACTCACCTACACCTTCTTCCCATGGTGCATCTGACCCGCCACCCTCCATCCACCCACACCTGTATCTTTCCTCTTATTCTGGGGTTCATCTGTTTGAACATTCAGCTTCCAAGGCAGGGTAAATGAACTCCAACTGCAGGTTTTATGGGGCCATTGAACCATCAGCGCAAATATACCCCCGTGGAGATAAGAATAAGCCTAAGGCTACTCCTTTTGGGCACCCCCCCCCATAACCCCCTTGGACTCTGGCTGTGTCTCAAACAGCCACCACTACCCTGTGAAGAATATGCAGAGTAAGGAATGGGGACCTGGGTCCTTGGGTCCCAGATCCTCACATGGACATGTGAACTGTATTTGTCAATTAATTCACTCAATTGCCTGAGCCCCAGGTTATGCATGAGGGAATAGTGATACAGCAGATTGTGTCTAGCTTGACAGCTTATCCCCTCCCCCACTCCCTCCTTAGCCCCTGACCTTTAGCTTACTTCCCTGTCTGACCTTTGAACAAACCACTTCCTCCCTCAAGATTCTCCTTTTTTTCTTTTTCTTTTGGGAAGGGGGTTGGAGGGAGGAGAGCTCATGTAGCCTAGGCTAGCTTCAATCTCATTATGTAGCTGAGGATGACCTAAACTTCTGCTTCTGTCTCCACCTTCCCAGTGCTGGGGTTTCAAGCAGGAGCCATAACCCTCGAACTGGTGCCAGGGATTGAACTCAGGGCTTCATGCACACTTGGCAACAAGGGCTCTACCAGCTGAGCTACATCCCAGCTCAAGAATGGCTCAACTCTCCTTCCTTTCAGCAGAGTTGACCCCTACTCTCCTTGCTCATAACAACTGATGTGGAGTAAAGATCATCTTCCTACCAACCCTCCAACCACATTCCCACCAGCTGTGGCCACCCAGATCAACTATCTAGAGACTTAGGCTGCGACCCAGGATGGCCTGGAACTAACTATGCAGCCCAGCATTACTGTTTGAGTCTAGAATGTCCCCTACAGACTCACTTTTTATAATTGTTTTATATTTACTCTTTGAGAATTTCATGCAATTTATTTTGATGGTACTCTTTGCCTCTCCCCAGATCCTCCCCTACTTCCCTGCATACCCAAATTCATGTCCTCTCTCTCTCTTAAAACAAAACAAACACACACACACCAAAACCAACAACAGAACCATGGAGTCCAG